TCAACGCCATTTCAGCTTCAAACATTGACAGAATGGGACGGAAATAATCCGAAGAGTCGAGAATAATCCCGAACGGGCATGACAACAGTATGAACGCATCTATCTCGGCAAAATTTGATAATTTTGGAACGTTGACCTGAAAAAACCCTACAATATACCCACAACAATGGAAACGCCATTAGTAGTGATTTATATTCTTTTTCCGAAACCAAAAAACGGTTATTGAAATTTACTAACCTTCCCGACGGAAATGACGTATAGACGTTTACCAGCAGCTTTGCACAGTTTTCGTACCCTTTGCACGGCTTCGCTGAAATTGTTGTGAAGAAGCTTTAGATGAGACCAGGCTTGATAACGTTTTCCAAAAAAATGAACGCAACATATTTTCATATGGAAAGTATCTGTATCTCCCCTCTCATCTCCCTTTCCGCTTAACTAAAAAAATTTTGAAAAGCTGTACAATGTTGAACTCACACATGTCCACGCACTCCAACAGTTCCTACAACCAGTCCAACAGTATTCGCATCGCGTAGTTTTTCTATCAAAAAGAGACGTTTACGCAGTTGCCGCAAGGATTGTGATCTAAAAACATCCGAACAAATTACTTTTCCGAGGAAACTTCTCAATAAGCACAACAGCAGAACTTGGCACGATGTGGCTCTGGCGATGTTGCAACATAAATACATCCCCTATGAGACGCATAGATGTATCAAACAAGAAAAACAAAGAAGAGTAAAGAGAATTACAAAGACAACAGTAGATTGACGATGGAAAGTACTAATAATGTTTGTATTCTCCGAACTGGCGGCATGCTGTTCCCAGCGCGCTCTAGGAGTAGGATTACCGTCATTCAACTTTTTTAAGAGCTATAACTGCGCGAGGAAGGAAGAGGTTTGAGGAAATTCAAACACTAGTTTGTAGGATTTGGAGTAGATCAGTGCAATGTCAAAAATGTGAAAAAATTATGTAAAAAGAGGGAAATATATGATTTTGCTCTAAGCCACCTCAAGTTACTCTCCAATTGGCTCAAAAACACCTACTCTCCAATTGGCTCAAAAACACCTAACTTGAAAAAAGTTTTGCCGCGCCTCCACTTCACTTGACCTTTCATAATTTTTCATACACAATTCAGTTCCCTACTACACATCTACACACCAATTTTAGATTAGGTTGCCTTGCGTGATCAGAAAATTTTTTGAAAATTCTACCCCTTCCGAGGTTCCAGTTTCGCACGAAGAAATTGGCGGTATATTCCTGTAAACCTTACTGAGCATGCATGCATTTTTTCCTAGGACTCTGTCCCGAACCCGCTCAAACCGACATTCCTTTCGCGTATCCCCTCAAACGGTATCTAGACTGCGTCGTAAGCCACCTGCCCCAAGCCTTGTTCAAGAGATGTCTCAAAGGAAATATTGGTATTGAACAGCTCTCGTACGAACTGGACGTCACAGATATTTAATTAAGAAACAAGGACGCTTAGGTATTCAATATGCAAATCAAAGTTCACATACTGAGATGGAAAGGGCAAAAGAAGAGACGGTCGCGGTCTTATAAGATAAGAAGAACTGCACCTGTTAACTTGAATTGTTTCAAGTTTTGAACCTTCTAGATCCGAAAAAATTTGTTAAAAAAGGGGAAGATGCGGAAAGACAGTATTTCAAAGATTCTTCGAACATGAGAAAAGATACGGATGACGGATCATCTATAACCGGCGACCACCGGATAGTGTTCTAAATAGACGTGAATCACAAATATCTTCCGAGTCAGCATTCTAATTTCACCGTTCAGCATTC